CATTTGTTCTCCTGATCTTAGCCAGTCTGACTGGGGTAATATGAAATCTTAAAGTGGTTTTAATTTGCATTTCCCTAATTATTAGTGATGTTGAAAATCTTTTTAAAATGCTTCGTAGCCATCTTTGCTTCTTCTTTTGAGAACTCTGTTTAGCTCCTTAGCCCATCTTTTAATTGGGTTACTTCTTGTCTTGATTCTCTGTTTTTTGAGTTCATTATATATTCTGGATATTAAACCTCTATCAGATGTGTCGCTGGTGAAGATTTTCTCCCATTCTCTGGGTTTTCTGTTCACTTCCCTGGTTGCCTCCTTTGATGTACAGAAGATTTTAGTTTAATGAGGTCCCATTTGTTAATTCTTGCCCTTGTTTCCTGAGCAGTTGATGTCCAGTTTAGAAAATCGTTTCCTACACATATATCTTGTAGGTTTTTTCCCAATGTTTTCTTCTAATAGTTTCAGAGTTCCAGGCTTTACATTGAGGTCTTTGATCCATTTGGAATTGACTTTTGTGCAGGGTGAAAGAGTTTCATTCTTCTACAGATGGAGATCCAGTTTTGCCAACATCATTTGCTGAACATGCTGTCTTTCCTCCAGTGAATATTCTTGGCCCCTTTGTCAAATATCAGGTGGCTGAAATTGCATTTACTCATATTTGGGTCTTCAATTTTGTTCCATTGATCTATGGGTCTATTTTTGTGCCAGTACTATGTTGTTTTTGTGACTATAGCTCTGTAATACAGCTTAAAATCTAGTATAGTAATCCCCCCGACATTACTCTTAGTGCTCAGGGTTGCTTTGGCTATCCGAGGGCTTTTGTGCTTCCATATGACTCTTAGGATGATTTTTTCCAATTCTGTGAAAAATGTCATGGGGATTTTGATCGGCATTGCATTAAATCTATAAATGGCTTTTGGTAGGATGGTCGTTTTCACAATATTACTTATTCCAATCCATGAGCATAAGAGGTCCTTCCATCTTCTGATGTCTTCCTCAATCTCTTTAAAGATTTAAAATTTTCATTGTAGAGGTCTTCAATGGCTTTGGTCAGGTTTATTCTGAGATAATTTTTTTTGCAGCTCTTGTGAAGGGTGTGTTTCCATGTGCTCTTTCTCTGATTGTTTGTTATTGTAGAAAGGCTACAGACTTTTGTAGGTTAATTTTGTAACCTGCCACTTTACTGAATGTGTTAATAATTTCTAGGAGTTTTTGAGTGGAATTTTTGGCATCTCTTAGATATAATCTTATATCATCTGTAAAAAGGGATAATTTGACCTCTTCCAATTATTACTCTTTTAATTTCCTTCTATTTTCTTATTGCTTTTGCAAGAATTTCTGTTAAAGAGAAGTGGAGATAGTGGACAGCCTTGTCTTCTTCCTGATTTCAATGGGAATGCTTCCGTCCAATTCCCTCTAAGACTTTGAACAAAAATGCATGTTGAATTTTGTCAAAGGCCTTCTCTGCATCTATTGAGATGACCATGTGGTTCTTGTCTTTGGACATACACTGTTTTTAATCACATGCATTTCAGGAAACAGCCTCATAAAACTTGAGACATATACTTAATGTATGCTTAGTAATGTTACTTTTCCATTTGACTCTAGAGCAGTACTTTAAAAACATATGTGGTGGCACACACCTTTAGTCCCAGCACTTGGAAGGCAAAGGCAGGCAGAGCTCTGTGAGTTCAAGGCCAGCCTGGTCTTCATAGTGAGTTCCAGGACAGCTGAGGCTACAGAGAGACATCTCAAAAATACCACAAAAAAAAATCATATATATCAGCCAGGTCTGGTGGTGCACGCCTTTAATCCCAGCACTCAGGAAATAGATCTGTGTGAGTTTGAGGCCAGCCTGGTCTACATAGACCTTGTCTAAAATAATAATTTTTATTGAATTTTGTGCATTTTATATAATAAATCTTAATCATATTAAGACCCCCCTCCCCTATTTGCTCTTTCCCATAGCTCTCCCTTTTGGTTTCATGCCTTC